GGTTGGCCCAGGATCAGACATTGTTTCATTCTGCTGTGCATGGGGTCACTGTGAGTCGGTTCCAACTCAATGGCACCTGACAACAACAACAACACCACCAACAACAACAGGGTATAATAACCTCGAGTGGTGCTGTGGGTTATGCACCGGACTGCTAACCACAAGATTGGCAATTCAAGCCCACCAACCCCTCCACAGTAGACAGATGAGGCTGTCTGCTTCTGTAAAGATTTAAAGTCTTGGAAACACTATATAGCGTCTCTGTGGGGCGGAATACATATGAAAGAAATGGGTTTGGGGTTTTTTGTTTATTTATAGGGTATAATATTTTTATATTGTATTTTATATTGCCATTTCTTATCTATACTAGTATGTCTATTTCTCTTCAGTTTTTTATTCTAAATGAGAAAACATCTTTTTAAGCTTTTTGCCCAAGATATTTCACTTCTATCTAGAGGAGGGCAGTGTTTTTTACCTGGTGGCAGCTGGAGGCTGCTATATTCACTGTACAAGAAACATTATGCAATTATGTGTTCAGACACTATGCAAAATGATGGTGATAAAAGTGCCTGGTCTTTTTTTTTTTTAAATTATTTTGAGCTTTGTTCCATATTTTTCTCCCACTCTGTCCAGGATCTTCTAATGTGAGCCTTTTCAGAGAAGCTGGTTGTAGTGGCCTAGCACTATCTAGTTCATTTGGTCTCAGGGTTGTGGAGACTGATGTTTGTGTGGCCCATTAGTCCACTGAATTAATTGATTCCACACGTCTTCAATTTTCCTCACTTTTCTTTCCTTTGGACAGGGAGCGACTAATAGTTACATCTTAGATGCTGCTCATGAACTTTAAGACCCTAGTCACTCTCACCAAGGTAGGACACAGAACATTGTCTTTCTTGACTATGTTATGCTAATTGTCCTTGGTGTCCCCTGAGACTATGGTCCTGAGCCCCAGACCCAGAGACTCATTCCCTCAAGGTGTTTGGTTATGTGTAAGAAGTTTTTATAACTTTGTCCCCAGTATAGGCCACCTCATATAATAGTTCAAAAATTTAAATAGCAAGCTGATTTGTGCTATTAAATAACTTAAAATCTTGATCATTTAAATAAGACATAATATACTTTGGAGTCTTGGTGTGGTGGTGTAGGCCAAACACTGGACTGCTAGTCATAAAGTTGGAAGTTCAAATCCACCACCTGTTCTTTGGAATACAGAGTTGCCAAGAGTAGGAATTGACTTGACAATACCTAGCAACAATAACATAATATACTTTATAAGTACTTGATAAAATTATAAAATATATATAGTCATTGTTGAACAATTAGAAAATACAAAGACATATAAAGAAGAAAATGAAAATCACCTTTTCCCACCACTGAATGATAATTGCTGTCAACATTTGAAATGTATTTAGTAGCATTTTTGTCTGGCTTCTTTTCTACTTACAACTACTTCTCACTTATAGACTATCTTGTTATCCAGAATTAGGGCAGTGGGGGCGGGGGAGGCTTCATAATGTTTGTGGGAAAATTCCATTTTTTCTTAATTCTATTTTTCTATGAACTTGTGAAGTCCCCTTGTATTTGCATTTATGACAATAGTAAAATTTCTACTATCCGGCTATGTTGCACATTAACAACATAACACCTGGCTAGAGTAATGCTGGTTGTAATGGTTAAAGTTATATGTCACCTTGGCTGGACCATGATTCTCAGAGGTGTGCCAGTTATGCAGTGATGAAATGTGGCTGTTACACATTGATGTAGTCATCCTCCATTTTTTGACCTGCTGTGATCATCCTCTGTTTTCACATACTGGCCTGCTCTTTTGGAACCTAACCATGTTGATAAATAAGGAGTGAGTATATATACATGTTGTTGTGACGTGCCGTTGAGTTGATTCTGACACATAGCAACCCTGTATAGGGTTTCCAAGGAGCAGCTGGTGAGCTTGAACCACTGACCTTGCAGTTCAAATGACTTTGCAGTCTGATACATTAGCCCACAGGACTGACTCTCTCTCTCTCTCTCTCTCTCTCTCTCTCTCTCTCTCTCTCTATATATATATATATATAGATTCCATATATGTACGAGAGGGCACCAAAAAGTTTGGAAAATGGAATGAAAAGATAATGGATTTTTTCCAGGAACTTTTTAAAGTGCCCTTATATAGAAACAAGGAGTCTTGGTGTAGCATTGTAGGATAAGCACTGGACTGCTAGCATCAAGTTTAGTGGTTCAAATCCATCAGCCACTGCTTGGAAACCCCATGAATTGGAAAAACTCGATAGCACTTAACAACAACAAAATATAGAAGGAAAATTCAAACATAAATTATGTAGTTTCATATTCTACTATTTTTCTCTTGATGTAAAATTATATGAACCATAGATAATATGGTTTTAAATATGAACCATAGGTAATATGGTTTTAAGTATTCCTCAAAAGCATGATTTTTACTGACTGTAATATATTTTACTTTATAGATGGCACTGTTATACTTTGAACTCCTGGGGTGTCATGCTGTAGGATCAGCACTGGACTTTGAACCACAAGGTTGGCAGTTCAGACCCACCTTGGAAACCCTATACAGGGTCTCTATGAGTTGGAATCAGTTCGACAGCACTTAACAACAACAATCGTATTTTACCTGCTGCTTCTGTGTGCTGTTGAGTCGGGTCCAACTCACCACAACACTGTATAGGGTTTCCCAGGCTGTAAATCTTTATGGGAGCAGAAAGCCTTATCTTTCTCCTGTGGAGATTCACACTGCTGACCTTGTGGTTAGCAGCCCAACACATAATCCTCTACACCACTAGGGTTCTGTATACTTTACTTACAGTATTCATATTTGGGTCAATACGATTATTATTTCACTGTTAACATTTAGACTAGAGGGATATTTTGTATATACATATTTAGCCATATATGACTATTTCCTTAAGGATCCCTGGTGGCTCTATAGGATAAGCACTGGACTGCCAGGTCGGCAGTCAAATCCATGACCACTCAGTGGGAGAAAGATGAAGCTTTCTGCTCCTGGAAAGATTTACAGCCTCAGAAACCCTATCTAGGGGCTCTATGAGTTGGAATCAACTTACTGGCATTGAGTTTTATGATTATTCCTTAGGGTCAATTTGTAGCCCTGGGATTACTGAATGAAAGGATACTAGCAGATTTTATTTTTTTCCTTTTGGTCTGTTCTTTTTCTTCGTTACCAAAAATTTCAAAAATAAAAGTAACAAGAATGGTGTCATGAAATCCCATTATACCTATCCCCTAGATAGGTGTGCTTTCTTAGATGCTTGGTAGTTACTACATAATTGATTTCTGGAAAGAATTTAGCAATTTACATTTATACTAGCAGTAGATGAGAGTCCATTTCCCATCTCACTTACCAATTGGATAGATGAAAAGGAAAAATTAGTTGTTTAATTTGTTATTTTTTAGTTACTAATGATATTGGACGTTTAAAAATTGCATCTATTATGTTCTTTGACTTGATATTAACTTATTGTGTGCTTTGGGGAAATGAAAGTTTAAATTTTTGATTTAGTGAAGTGTGGAAATAGTTTTTCGTAACTATATTTTTAAAAGTCCACCTGCGTTTTCTTCCTAGATTCTTTTATAGTTTTAATTTCAATACTTAATTTTAGTTCACTGAGAATTTATTTAAGTATATTTAATAAGAAAAATTTACTTAGGTATATTTAGTAAGAATATATTTGGGCATATTTAATAAGAATTTCTGTGCCTCAGAAAACCTGTACAAGGTGACTATGGGTCGGAATCGACTTGGCAGCACTTAACAACAACAATAAGAATATATTTAAGTATATTTGTTATATCTAGGACTCTTGGTGTGGCACTGTAGGGTAAGCATTGGACTTGTGAACCACAAGGTTGGCAGTTCAAGCCCGCCAGCTGCTCCTCAGAAACCCTATACAGGGTCTCTATGAGTCAAAACTGGCTTGCGGGCATGTAACAACAACAATGTATCTAACTCAAATTGTTTTATCCTTTCAAACGCAATTTTGCCCCACTGTTTGTTGAATAATCTTTTCTCCATTGGGTTTTAATGCTTTGCTATCATACTCTTACATAATTTGTATAGATTATCTTTTCTGTTTTATTACTGATTATATTAAAGTTTTAAAACATGCTCAGGTAGAATTTATGGTAGTATATATTTGGATTTTGAATAGTACCGATTGTAATGCTTATGTTTTTGTGTTTTTATAAAGATACACTTGGGTGACTGGTAAAGAGCCACTTACGTACTATGACATGAACTTGTCAGCTCAGGACCATCAGACATTTTTCACCTGTGACACTGACATTTTACGCCCTTCAGACACAGGTGTGTATCATAACTGTTCATGGGATAAGCAGTGATCATGAAAATGATATTGAGGATTCTTTAGAGTTATTTATTATAATATTTAGAGTTATTTGCCTGGGAGTGTTTTTCATTATTGATAAGAAACAGATTAAATTGAAACTAACGATTAAATTAATTAAACTAATGAGATTTATGTACTATTTTCTGTGCTATAATGAGTTTACAATATTTTATTTAAAATATTGTTCCTTTTATTACTTAAGAAACCTTTTAGACCAAATACACCAGCTACCTATGTAGAGTAATAATGTACCCAATTTTGTTCTGGGAAGTTAGTTGCAATTATACATAAAAGAGTAGGAAATTATGTGAAGATTGAGAATGGAATGACAAGAAACATAGGTTATAGTTTACTCTAGTCATAATTTAGAGGTGCATGCATGGTAAGGAGCAGAGAGTGTCTATATTGAGTACTTCTGGAGCTGTACTTTATATTGTTGTTAAGTGCCATCAAGTGAGTTCCAACTCATAGCTTCCTTGTGTAGGGTTTCCGAGGAGTGGCTGGTGGATTTGAACTGCTGACCTTGTGGTTAGCAATCCAGTGCTTCTCCTACAGCACACCAAGAAGAGTAATACTGAGTCTTTTAAATTCATGGCTTAAAGACAGGGATTTTTATCAGAACTTTAGTTTGCCCTCCCACTTCTTGTCTATCTTGTGAGCTACATTTTATCTTATTGGATCTAAATAAAAAAATCTCATTCTGTAGGATGCCTTCTCTAGGATCTCTTGACATAAGTTAAATACTTTCCTCTTTGTATTTCTATACTACTTAGTTCAAGCCTTGACCAAATAATTTTAATGTATTCAACCACAAGCATTTATTTGTTAATGTCACATTGCTCTCATGTTTGTCTTCCCTAGGAGCATGTGAAACTTTGCAGGGCAGGAGTATGTTCTCTTCATCTCTTGTATCCCTATCATTAGCACACTGTATGACAGATTGTAAATAATATTATTCTTTAATGGAAGTATGCATAAATGAGGTGAGACAGAGATCTTAAGCAATTTCATGAATAATATGTAATACTTGTATACACTATGTGCCAGGCACGGCTCTAAACAATCTATGTAAATGTGCTTATTTAACTTTCCCAGTCACTGTATGAGATAGGTATTATTATCAGTCCCATTTAAAAAAAATAAGGGTGTGACGCATCGAGGGACCAAGTGCTATGCTCTAAATCATACAGTTAGTAAGTGATAAGGCTTGCTTTTAAGCTCAAGTCTGGATCTTTACACACCTGCTGCTTCTACCCACCCACCATGTGCAAGCTCTGTAGACCATTGATGGTGGTGGTGGTAGTGATGTGCCGTGAAGTCGTTTCCGACCCATAGCGACCCGACCCATAGTGACCCTGTACAGGGTTTCCGAGGCTGTAAATCTTTACAGGAGCAGAAAGCCTCATCTTTTCTCGTGCGGAACATCTGGTAGTTTCGAACTGCTGAACTTGCGGTTCACAGCCCGATTCGTAAACAATACGCTACCAGAGTTCCTTGTAGACCATTGATTGTTCTTGTGATGTGCCGTGGAGTCGGTTCCGACTCATAGCAACCCTGTACAGGGTTCCTGAGGCTTTTAATCTTTACGGGAGCAGAAAGCCTTATCTTTCTCCCGTGCAACAGCTGGTAGTTTCGAACTGCTGACCGTGAGGTTCTCAGCCCGATTTGTAACCACTATGCTCACTACCAGAGCTCCTTGTTGTTGTTGTTGTTAAGTGCCATCGAGTCGGGTCCGACCCATAGCGACCCTGTACAGGGTTTCCGAGGGTGGAAATCTTTACAGGAGTAGAAAGCCTCATCTTTCTCCCGCGGAGCGACTGGTAGTTTCGAACCGCTGACCTTAAGGTTCGCAGCCCGATTCGTAACCACTACGCTACCAGAGCTCCTTAGGTAGAGGAAAATCATAAGCAACTAATGATCGAAAAAATAGCTATTCTCCCGGTACGGAAGTGAGTTAAGACTGTACCACAGGAAGAATGGTGAACATCAGTAAGTTTTTCAAATAACAACCATGACTGTCCACTAAAGCTGTGGTCTTAAAACATTTTTGTTTGCATACCTCCTAAAAGAATTCTGAGAAACTGTGTGTCATGGTTCTTCAGAATCTTTAGGTGATATAGTCAGTGAAACCAATGAGACTTTCGTATATTTCCCAAGTCTTTCAAGTTTTCTGTCTTTTATAGGGTACGTCTTACCACTTTCTATCACTAGTTTTAGTGACAAATATTTGAGTTTTCCTTCTCTGACAGGTTTCCACCTTGCACAGGTTCTGGCTTTTGCAGGTTTTATTTGTATATGAAGATAAGTCATAAACTGCACATGTATATACTTACATTTATGTGTGTTCTACATGTTGTTGTTAATTGTTGTCAAGTTGGTTCTGACTCAGCGACTCTGTATAGGATTTCCAAAGAGCTGTTGGTGAGTTTGAACCACTGACCTTGCAATTCAAACTTACCTTGTCCAGTGCTTATCCTACAGTCATGCTACATATATATTTCTAAATATGTATTTTTTTACATGTGTATTTTTGCATTAATGTTTATATATGTTCTTAAATATATCTCTGGTAGTGTAGTGGTTATGAATTGGGCTGCGAACCGCAAGGTCAGCTGTTCAAAACTACCAGCTGTTCCGCGGGAGAAAGATGAGGCTTTCGGATCCCATAAAGATTTACAGCCTCGGAAACCCCGTACAGGGTCACTGTGAGTCGGAACCGACTCCACAGCACATAACAACAACAACATCTTTAAGTAATTGGTTCACTTAAGTGTGGTGGTGGTGGTAGTGGTGTTTGATGATTGTGTGCTGAATCGTTTCTGACTCAGCAAATCTGCATAGGGTTTCTGAGGCTGTAAATCTTTATAGGAGTAGAAAGCCTCATCTTTCTACCACGGAGTGGATGGTGGGCTTGAGCCACCGACCTTGTGGTTAGCAGCCCAACTCATAACCCACTATGCCACCAGAGTTCCTTTCACATAAGTACAGAGACTGTTAAGTCTGAAATCTGTAGGACAGACCATCAGGCTAGAAATACGGCAAAAAAGGATGTTGCTGTCTAGAGTCTACAGAGCAAGCTGGAAATAAAGGTAGGATTTCTACGTTACAGACTTGCTGTGGAATTCCTTCTCTACAAAACCTCAGTTTTTGGTCTTATGACCTTTTATTAATAGGATGAGTCCCACCTGCATTATTGAGGGTAATCACCTTTACTTAAAGTTGTTGTAACTAAGTGCTGTCGAGTCTGTTCTAGCTCATAGCAACCCTGTATAGGGTTTCCGAGGAGAAGCTGGTGAGTCTGAATCTCTGACCTTGCTGTTTAAACTGACCTTACAGTCCAGTGCTTTATCCCACACCACCACACCAGGACTCGTACTTAAAGTTAATTGGTTGTAAATGTTAAACACATCTAAATTACCTTCACATCAGCATCTAAACTAGTGTTTGACCAAATTACTGGGCACCATAGCATAGTCAAGCTGACACAAAATTACCCGTCACATAGCCCATCATAATACAGTTTTAAGTTGACATCATTAGGTTAAATCATTGCAAAGAATATATACATATGTATTTTTTACTTTTTTATCCTTCAAAATTTTATTTATTTTGTTGAGAGTATACACAGCAAAACATACATCAATAGTTTCTACATGTACAATTATAATTATACTGATCACACTCAAGTTGTGTAACCACGCCCCTGCCTTTTCTGAGTTATTCCTTCCTTAACATAAAATTGTTCCATAAGGTTCTTATCTTTCAAATTTTGTTGTTAATTTCACCCCATATAGTTCTTTTAAAAACGTAATGCTCAAGGCTGGCCTTTTACTAGGTAAGCTAAACTGTGGCGCTATAGGTTAATGTGCTGGGCTGCAAGATCTGTTTGAACCTTAAGGTCAGAGGTTCAAGTTCACCAGCTGCTCCTTGGAAACCTTATACAGTGGCACTATGAGCTGGAACCGACTCGACAGCACTTAACAACACCATTGTTCAGTTTTGAGATGACTACAGAGGTTACTATTGTTGTTAAGTGCCCTCAAATTGGTTTAGACTCACAAGGATGATACATAGAGTTTTCAAGGAGCAGCTGGTGGGTTTGAACCACTAACCTTTCAGTTAACCGTTCAGTGCTTATCCTACAGCATCGTACCAGGACTCCATTTTGTTACATGGAAATAGTTTCAGGGGTTTATCCACCCTCCATGGCTCCAGAAAGTCTAGAGTCCATGAGAATTTCAAATTCTGTTCTGCATTTCCTTCTTTTAGATCAGGATTCTTCTATAGAACCTTTGATCAGAATGTTCAGTGACAGTAACTGGGCACCATCCAGTTCTGGTCTCATGACAAAGGAGGCAGTTGTTCATGGAGGCAATAAACTATACAAGGAACTTATTTTTTGACTCATTGTATAAATATAGACATTTAGGTGTAAAACTACCCCTATATTCACATGTAGGAACACTGGTAGCATAGTGGATTACAAGCTGCAAGGTTATCAGTTTGAATATACCATTTGCACTGCAGTAGAAAGGCTTCCTGCTCCCATACAGATTTACAGCCTTGGAAACCTTTTACAGGGTCACTGTGAGTCAGAACCAACTCAGTGGTACACGGCAGCAGCAGCATATTTAAATGTATCTAATGAAATTTAATTATTTAATACCCAGTGTGACCACTGAAAAATATATGAACAAATGTACTTCAATAGTAGTAAGTCCTACTTTAAACAAAGTCCTTTTTCTTCTTGAACTCATATTCTACATACCTCTATATAATTTTATGTTGTCCTGGTATGTTATTATAGTATAAGCACTGGATTTTTAACAACAAAGTTGGCAATTCAAATCCACCAGATGCTCCTGGGAAACTCTATACAGAGTTGCTATGAGCTGGATCTGACTTGATGGAAGTAACAGCAACAACTAAGCTATAATTTTATATTTTATCATACAGT